CTTCCCTGAGAAGCCACTATAGTTTCTCCTTTCTTACAAATAAGGTTATATAACATTTTTGCTATATGTTCAATCACAGTAACAGCATAATATCAGCCTCATGGCTAAAATATGTGTTTCCTACTAATTTGGTCTTTATTTTCTGTTTTTTTTTTCCCTCCTATTTCAAAAACCTTATTGGATATATCCTTTGTCTCTTTTTTACTTCTAATTCTCTGTGGAAAATTTAAAAGCATAAAAATAAATTCAGTATACACTGCTCTGCCTGAAATTCAATGTCAGCCAAAATATGTCCCAGTCTACCTGATCTCCCACTACTGTCTTACACACACCTTATCCACAGCCAGATTGTATAACTCATTGTTAGCCAAACAGAGCCTGTACTTTTCTGCCTCCATGCATGCTGCTCACTACACTCAAAAAATGCCCAATCCCTGACCTAATAAGTCCTTTGACATCTTAGGTTTTCAATCCAACTCATCCTTCATGGACTTTAAAAAAAAGCTCAATTTCTTTCTGATTTTCGCAATATCCTCTATAGGGTCCCTATGAGTTGGAATTGACTCAACGGCAATGGGTTTAGTTTTAGTTTTAACCTGATGTGTTCTTTCCTGCCTCTTTTAACTAAAACTCCAGTGAACTGCTTTTATATTTTTAAGTCTGGAATAACATATACACAGATCTTAAAAGTAGTCTTCCTATGTGATGAGATTATGGATGGCTTATCTTCCTGTTATTTTCCGAATTTTCTACACAGAACATGCATTACCTTTATACTATCAGAGTGAAAAAAATGCTGGGCAAATGTCAGCAGGGACCATTAGCAGACTTTATGGGGAGCTGAGTCTTAGCTAATGGACTTGAAGGATTCTCAGTATGCTGTCAAGATCATTCCCACTGTGCCGATAAATGCACAAATGCATCAGGATTACCGTACTATTCACCTAACTGATGCTCTTTTTTGTGGATTCTGTGTTCCTTGAGTAATTTCCTGATGATTTGCCAAGAGGGAGAGAATGTACTGGACACAAACAGGAGTACTGTGTCTCTGAAACATTTCTCACTGTAATTTATTCATTTGGCAACATAAAAGGTTTGAAATTGTGCTTCTCACATTTGCTGGACCCTAATGCACACTCATCAAACCCACTGCCACTGAGTCGATTCAGACTCATAGTGACCCTATAGGACAGAGTAGAACTGCCCATAGGGCTTCCAAGGAGCGGATGGTGAATTCAAACTGCCAACCTTTTGGTTAGCAGCCGTAGCTCTTAACCACTGCACCTGGTTAAGAGGTTGGCTGCTAACCAAAAGGTCAGCAGTTTGAATCCACTAGCTGCCCCTTGGAAACCCTATGGGCAATTCTACTCTGTACTACAGGGCCGCTATGAGTTGGAATTGACTCAACAGCAATGGCTTTGGTTTTTTTTTGTTTGATTCACATTCAGTTGTCTGTATATTTTAATTGTCCTCCCCAGCTCAACCGCTCCTTAAGGCAGGGGCTATTTTACACAATTGAGTTGCCCCTGCAGGGCCTAGCCCCAATGACTCTATACAGAATGTATGGCATTTATGTCAGACATCACAGGAACACAGTACTTTGAAGCTGGACAGAACCTCAGTGATGATTTACTGATAAGCTTTCTAATTTTACAAATTAAAAAAACAAAACAAAACAAAACTTAATTCAAGAAGATGAGTAACTGTCTCATGATCTCAATACAGACCTGTGGCTGAAGGCCCAGGTCATAAATACAAGGAAATGTCACAATATTAAAATAAATATAAATCCACCAAAATGAAAGGGGCAGTAAAATATCTAAATGACATATGTGAAAAGTGGTTAAATGGTTAAAAAAGGAAAAGACATACAGTCAAACAACCCCTTAGAGGGACTTCCAGTTTCAGCTACAACATGTATAGAGTTTGGAAGTCATCCTGGTGTTTACAATAAAAAAACTGAACAAACTGAAAATGAATGCCTTTTCTTGGACCCATCAGAGAACTGAGGCTGCAGGGCAAACCACCACCCTGAAATTTGGAGAGACAGTCTAATACATAGCATCTCAGCCAAGATCTGCTTATCTGGTGCAGAAGCTACTGGACCCATAAACTGGTAGGAACAAGTAAATGGGAATTTTGACAAACTGCTGAAGGCTGAACATAGACTAGCTTGAGAGTGAGAAATGTAGTCTTATGGGGTCCCCACACTTTAATGGGTGTTACCTCCAGGAACCCTACCAAGTTCTCTAATTGAAGAGCCATGGAAGATTCCCTCCTGGCTCTCAGGCTTTGTCTGGTGGGCTCCCATAAGGTTTTAATATAATAGGCTTTATGGGGATTTAACTACTGATTGTACAGGAACTGCCTGTATATAATACGGTGTTCACACAGTGTCCAAATCGCATAATGTCCTCTTACCATGAATGTTAAGTGACGCATACCTGCAGAGGAACCGGAAGCGTCTGACACCTATAGCTACTGCAAACATAAAACACAGTCCAACTCCTAACCACACTGATGCAAAACCTCACACAAAAGGTCTATTTACCTAAGTTTCTATTACCCAATATATCATGCCCAGCTTTCAACAAAAAAATTACACAGTATGCTGAAAGGCAAGAAAAAACAGTCTGAAGAGGCACAGCAATCATCAGAATCAGACTCAGATATGGCACAGATTTTGGAATTATCAGGCAGGGAATTTAAAACAACTGTGATTAATATGTTAAGGGTTCTAACAGAAAAATTATACAACCTGCAAGAACAGATGGGTAAAGTAAGCAGACAGATGAAAACTCTAGGACAGAATCAAAAAGAAATGCTAAAAATAAAAAACACTAACAAAAATGAACGATGCCTTTGATGGGCTCATCAGTATACTGGACATGGCCAAGGAAAGAATCAGTGAGCTTGAAGATAGATCAACATAAACTTCCCAAATTGAAATGCAAAGAGAATAAACAAATGAAAAAAATGGAAAAAAGCATCCAAGAACTGTGAGACAAGTCTGAAACTGAACAGAACATCTAAGAGCTATGGGAAACTGAAGCACAGATAAATACAGGTAAAATAAAATATGCATAATAAGAATACTAGAAGAAGAAAGAAGGAAAGGAGCAGAAGAAATATCTAAAGTAATAATGGTTGAGAATTTTCCAAAATTAATTAGACGCCAAACCACAGATCCAGGAAGCTCAAAGAACACCAAGCAGAATAAATACTAAAAAAATATACACCTAGGCATATCATAAGGAGCTCCGGTGGCGCAATGGTTAAGTGCTTGGCTGCTAACCGAAAGGTCAGTGGTTTGAACCCACCAGTGGCTCCTCAGGATAAAAGACCTGGCGATCTGCTCTGCAAAGATTACAGCCTAGGAAACCCTATGGGGCAGTTCTACTCTGTCATATAGGGTTGCTATGAGTTCAGAACCCACTTGACGGCACACAACAACAGCCATATCATATTCATATCATATCATATCCAAGCTGCAGAAAACCAAAGACAATGAGAAAATCTTGAAGGAAGGCGGAGGGGAAAAAAATGTTTCCTATAGAAGAATAAGGATACGAATTATGTCAGACTTCTTGTTAGAAACTATGCAAGCAAGAAGACGAAAGAGTGAAATATTTAAAGTGTTGCTGAAACAAAACAAAACAAAAAAAAAAACCCACCAACCTACAATATCCCAATGAAATTACCCTTCAAAAGTGAAGGAGAAACAAAGACTTTCTCAGACAAACAAAAACTGAGGGAATTCATCGCCAGCAGACCTGCCCTGCAAAAAACGTTAAAAGAAGTTCCTCAGGAAGAATGAGGGTGATACAGGTCAGAAACTCAGATGTATATAAAGAAGAGCATTGAAAAAGGTATAAATGAAAGTAACATAGAATCCTTTTTTTTGTTTTAGTTGATCCAAAAGATAACTGTTTAAATATTAATAGCAACAATATATTGGGTGACTACAGAATATTGATAAATGAAAAGAATGATAGCAATCTCATAACAGGCAAGAAGGAAGAATTAGGAATACTGTTATAAGGTACTTGCATTACACATGAAGCAATACAGTGTTATTTGAAGGTTGACTTAGTTAAAATATATATTGCACACTGTAGGACAACCAGTAAAAAAAATTAACCCCCTAGAGAATTCAATATTAAAAACTGACCTAATAGACAAAAACGGTTACGGAAAAATTCAAAGTAAAAATGGTATAGTAGAAACAAATGTAACGACTAAACTCCTAAGACAATTTATGATAACAATTATTGGGTAATGAATGTGGTAGGCATTGTTCTGAGTCATTTACACGTATTGACTCACTTATTTCTTAAAATTATCATCCCTATTTTCAAATCAAGAAATTGAGACACAGAGATTCAATTACAGGCAGACCCTGGATTACAAACAAGTTCTGTTCCTAAATCTGTCTTTAAGTTGAATTTGTACATAAATTGGAATAGTTCGGTAACTGTTAGGTAACAGTTCACTAATAATGCTATCATTTATTTCAGAAAAGGAGCCCTGGTGGCTCAGCTGCTAATTGAAACGTTGGCAGTTTGAACCTACTAGCCGCTGTGTGGGAGAATGATATGGCAGTCTGCTCCCATAAAGATCACAGCCTTGGAAACCCTATAGGGCAGGTCTACTCTGTCCTGTGGGGTCACCATGAATTGGAATCAACTCAAGGGTAATGGGTTTTTTGGGATATCTCATGGACCAGAGTCCTACTGTACCTAAAAAAATTGACATACCAATGATTAAACTGCAACTACATATTCAGGTTAAAAAAAAGTTTAATACAAATTTAATAGATAAGTCCATGTGTCCAATATATATACAATAAAATTACACTATTACTGTATTTCTTAAAAATTCAAATAGAAACTGAATATTTATAATGTATATAGCAAAAGGTAGTATTTCATATTTCGGCGTTTCCCTTTATTTAGCAACTGATGCCTATTTAGCAGTGAATGATTATGTAAAGTCAATACCTTTATCCAATTTTCTAGCTCTAGATAACTTTTCTTGTGATCTCCTTTTCAGTTCTTGGACCGGAATACAAGCCAACGCTTTCTCCTGGAGAGCAAGGTTCTCATAGACCAGGACATGCTGAATGTTGGACAGAAGCATCTTTAGAATGATTGAATTAGCAGTAACCTAATAGAAAAAAAAAAAATTACTGAAAGTAGCTTTTATCCACATTTTACAAAAATAACATGTAATAAAAACATTGTGGTTCTATGATTTCATAGATAATGAGGAATGCGTGGATTCAGAGAACCACAATAATCATACATAAAACCTTTACAATGATATTAGGGAACAGTCATATCTGTGTCAGAGTCTAAGATGTATCTATTATGTATTACACTACTGAAGATAGATTTAAACAGGGATATACTGAATTCTTGACCGCAGCCTGGATCAAGATAGGGCTATAAGCAATGCATCTGTCAGCCCTTGGCACTTCAAAACACATAAAACCAAAAAACCAAACCCACTGCCACTGAGTCGATTCCAACTCATAGTGACCCTGTAAGAGAGTAGAACTGCCTCATAGGGTTTCCAAGGCTATAAATCTTTACAGAAGCAGACTGCCACATCTTTCTCCCAGAGCGCGGCTGGTGGGTTCAAACCCCTGACCTTTTGGTTGGCAGCCGAGCACTTTAACCACTGTGCCACCAGGGCTCTATTCAAAACATACAGAAGACATAAAAAAATTACCTCTATACAGCATTAGCAAAGGCGTGCTTAAAAGGGATTAGGAATTATAAGAAATTCCTTTAAGATGAAAGGCAGGTACAAATAGATTAAAGGAATATACCATGGCAATATGCACCTCCAGAGAGGATGGTTGGGAAAAGTAAAAAAAAAAAAAAAAGTCCCAAGGGCAGAGAAGCCTCAGGATCCAGAGCAGGAAGGGGCCCTAGGGCAAGCATTAAGGAAACTGGTTGGGCTTTGCAACAGGAACAACCAGACATTTTAGCTTCTCCTTCCCTTATCCCTGCCATTACCGCTTCTGAGTAGTAAGCGTGGATGCTTAGATCACAAAAGGCAAGGGGAATGCCCAAGCTCAGGACAGATGCTCCTGGCACATCCCACCTTGCAACATGCCTGCCCCTCCCTGCAGTGGCTGGAAGCAGATGCAGTGTTCACAGACAGGCTAACAGGAACTGCATGGGATACAGAAAAAGACTAAAAACATTATCTTCAGAGATTTGAGAGTATACTGCATCCAGAGAAAGACTCAAGTATGGACCTTGAAAAGTTAAAATTTAAACACTGAAATAAAGAAGGTATAAACGATGTCAGACAGCAGAATAAAGTTTGAGCCAAGGCACTCTCTGAGAATGCAGCATACTCACACCAAAACCAAGCAGACATTGAGAATAAATCTAAAAGTTCTCAAATACTAATTGAAATTCTAGAAAGAAAGTAGAAACAATGAAGAAAGAAAATTCTCAAAGAACTAACAGAAACAAACTTCTGAGAGCTGAAGTGCCAGTGTATTGAAAACAAAAAAAAAAAAAAAAAAGGCATATGATGGTGACATCTCCTAACAGCAAGGATAAAAACATCCTAAAAGCCTCCAAGCAAAGAGAAACATTACTTGCAAAAAAAAAAAAAAAAATCTGATACCAGACTTTATAACGGAAACAGTGAGGAAAGATCTTTAGAAACATTACTTGCAAAGAAAAAAAAAAACAATCTGATACCAGACTTTATAATGGAAACAGTGAGGAAAGATCTCTGAAATTCTGAGGAAAAACGACTGGGAACACAAAATTCATACCCAGCCAAAGTAATCAAATAGAAGAGCAAAATAAATGCATTTTCTGATATGTAAACCCAAAACCAAATCCACTGCCAAGTCGATTCCAACTCATATCGACCCTATAGGACAGAGCAGAACTGCCCCATAGAGTTTCCAAGGAGCGACTGGTAGATTCGAACTGCTGACCTTTTGGTTAGCAGCTAAACACTTAACCACTGCTCCATGAGGGCTCCTTCTGATATTGAATAAAGCAGAAAGTATATTACTTCCAAACTCAATCTAAAAGATCAGAGGAGTTACTGTAGCCCCAAAATATAAATACATATACATACATACAGGAGTAGGACCTGGGATAAAAGCAGCATGGGTGAGTTAAAAACAAAACACTAGTAAAATTTAGTGTGATTGTTACAAATAAATAACCACAACTGAAAAGCAGTTATCTCATAAGGAAGGTAGCAGGGAAGGGAGCAGAAGAATAAAAGCTTTCTGAGGTTCCTGTCTTATGGTAAGATGTTGATAGGAAAATATAAAATTAAATATCTGCATTAAAAATTTAAGCTCAGTAATCTGTTGTTTGTTCTTGCTTGCCATAAAGTCAGTTCCAACTCATGGCAACTCCATGTATACCAGAACAAAACGTCTCCTCCTGTACCATCTTCATGATCTCTGAAATGTCTGAGCCCATTGTTGTGGCTATTGTGTCAATCCATCTCACTGAAGGTTTCCCTCATTTTCACTGACCCTCTACTTTACCAAACATGATGTCCTTTTCTAGTTATTGGTCTCTCCTGATGACGTGTCCAAAGTAAGCAAGACAAACTTTTGCCATCCTCGCTTCTAAGGAGCATTCTAGTTTCATTTTTTCTAAAATTGATTTGTTTGTTCTTCTGGCAGTCCATGGTATATTAAACATTCTTCACCAGCCCCACAATTCAAATGTAACAATTCTTCTACTTTTTCCATTGTCCAGCTTTCACATGTGTTTGAGGTGACTGAAAAGATCATGGCTTGGGTCAAGTGTACCTTTGTCATCAAAGTGACGTCTTCGCTTTTCAGAACTTTAAAGAAGTCTTTTGTAGTACACTTGCCCAATGCAAAATGTCATTTGATTTCTTGACTGCTGTTTCCATGGGCATTGATCGTTGATCCAAGAACAATGAAACCCTTGACAACTTCAATATTTTCTCCATTTATTATAATATTGCTTATTGGTCCAGTTTTGAGGACTTTCATTGTCTTTCTGTTCATACATAATCCTTACCGAAGGCTGTAGTTTTTGACCTTCATCAGTAAGTGCTTCAGGTCCTCTTCATCCTATTCACTTTTAGCAAGCAAGGCAGTGTCATCTGCATATCGCAGGTCATTGATGAGTCTTCCTCCAATACTGACGCCATATTCTTCATAGAGTCCAGTTTCTCAGATTATTTGCTCAGCATACAGAATAAATAAGTATGGTGAAAGGATACAACCCCGATGCACACCTTTCCTGATGTTAAACTATGCAGTCTCTCCTTGTTCTGTTCACACAACTGCCTCTTGGTCTATGTACAGGTTCCACATGAGCACAGTTAAGTGTTCTAGAATTCTCAATCTTCACAATGTTATATACAATTTGTTATGATCCACACAGTCGAATGCCTCTGTATAGTCAATAAAACACAGGTAAACATCTTTCTTGTATTCTCTGCTTTCAGCCAAGATCTATCTGACATCAGCAATGATAACCCTCGTCCCACATCCTCTTCTGAATCTGGCTTGAATTTCTGGCAGTTCCCTGTCAATGTACTGCTCCAACCATTTTTCAATTATCTTCAGCATAATTTTACTTACTTGTGATATTAATGATATTATTTGATAATTTCCACATTCTGTCAGATCACCTTTGGAATCAGCATGTATATGGATCTCTTCCAGTCAGTTGGCCAGGTAGCTGTCTTCCAAACTTCTTGCTACAGACGAGTGAGTGCTTCCAGTGTTGCATCCGTTTGTCAAAACATCTCAATTGGTATTTCATCAACTCCTGGAGCCTTGGTTTTCCCCAAGGCCTTCAGTGCAGTTTTGACTTCTTCCTTCAGTAACATCGGTTCTTGATAACATGCTACCTCCTGAAATGACTGAACGTCAACCAATTCTTTTTGGTACAGTGACTCTGTGTATCCCTTCTATCTTCTTTTGATGCTTCCTGTATCATTCAATATTTTGTCCATAGACTCCTTCAAAATTGCAACTTGAGGCTCGAATTTTTCCTTCAGTTCTTTCAGCTTGAGAAATGCAGAGCATGTTCTTCCCTTTTGGTTTCTTAACTCCAGGTCTTTGCGTATTTCATTATAATACTTTACTCTTTTCTCGAGCTACCCTGTGAAATCTTCTGTTCAGCTCTCTTACTTCGTAACTTCTTCCTTTTGCTTTAGCTACTCTATGTTCAAGAACAAGTTTCAGAGTCTCTTCTGACATTCAGCAGTCAAGAAATCAAACAATGCATTACACTGGGCATATCTACTGTAAAAGGCCTCTTCAAAGTGTTAAAAAGCAAAAATGTCATCTTGAGGACTAAGGTGCGCCTGACCCAAGCCATGGTACTTTCAATTGCTTCATATGCATGGGAAAGCTGGGCAATGAATAAGGAAGACCAAAGAAGAATTGATGCATTTTGAATTATGCTGCTGGCAAAGAATATTGAATATACCATGCACTGCCAAAAGAACAAACAAATCTGTCTTGGAAGAAGTATAGCCAGAATCCTCCTCGGAAGTGAGGATAGTGAGACTTTGTCTCATGTACTTTGGACATGTTATCAAGAGGGATCAGTTGCTGGAGGACGACATCATGCTCGGTAAAGCGTTAGCGAAAAAGAGGTAGACCTTTGACAAGATGGACTGACACAGTAGCTGCAGCAATTGGCTGAAACATAGCAACAACTGTGGGGATGGAGCAGGACTGGGTAGTGTTTCATTCTGTGGTACACAGAGTCACTAAGAGTCAGAACCAACTCAATGGCACCTAAAAACAACATGAGACTGTACAACAGGGGATATGAACCTAGACCGGCTGGATGGGTTGGAAGGATCTCCCTGAAGACATGATATTTGTGGTGAAATATGAAGGATGAGAAAAAGCTGGCAAACAGGGAAGAGAAAAGACCATTCCCATCAGATGGAACAAAATGCAGGTGGCTTTTGGAGTGTGTAGTTTTAATAAGGAAAGCAAGTTGCAAGAGACCGAGCTGAATTGCATAAGTGGTATCCCAAAGTAGGCTATGCACACCAAAAGAACTATACAAAATGGTCCACTGGGACGTGGGTATAAAATATTAGAGCTTCTATCTATATTATTTTTCATCCAAAAGGTAAAGCAATTAAGTTTTAATAATATTTAGTAT